AATTGTCATGTTCATTCGTTATGTACTAGTCATATAAAAATTAATCATTTTCAAAGAAAGGTTGGACATTTAAAGCTTACAATATAATACTGCTGCTTTGTGAAAACTAAGTTCATCCTATGCTCTTGTTCCTTTTCCCATTTTATGTTACACATTTATTTATGATCCATAATATTGATTATATCTCTCCTCTTCTATTCATTCAATATATCTCTGCTGAATTGGATTATATTCAGGTATATTTTCATTGTAAAAAAAACTAAAACGACTTTTCAAATTATAATGAATAAATTTGGGTTTCCAGAAAATAATGTAAACATTTCAGCTTCAATAATTTTAATGAATTATTTCCAACTGCTGCAAAACGGAGTAAAGGAAAAGTAACTTGTGGTGAAAATTTGTTTAATTGAGCCATACAGTTCTCTTGCTGCATCTTTATGCTTGGTAGATATATCAAACGTGACTTTTTAATTTCACATATGTCTCATTTATATGCCAGTTCTTTGGCTCTTTTAGTTTGAGGGTTTCATGATGTTTTTCAAAGTTTCTAAAAAACAACCTTAAACATATGATCAAACACATCTTGATCCTCCCACTCCATGGTAGATAGCGTTTTTGTTATTATCTTAAACATTACTTACAGGCTAACTAGAAATCTTTGTCACTTTCAATTCTAATATCTTACTTAAGAACGGATCTTTTCTTGTCTAGATAATAGTAGCAATTTCACTAACTGCCTATTTACTGTCTGCTCATGCAAGCACGTGGAAGGGTCCGCTGCCACATGTGTATCCTTTGCTCTCCCAGCTGCTGCTATGCATGTCTGTCCCTTCAGAATTCATACGTCCTTTCTCTCAAATGTGTGTTCTCCTTTTACCTAGTATTCAAGTATTTTTTCTCTCTTTCTTAGTCTGGGAAGCAGGGAAATAGATTTTTAGCCAATGCCACTAATTAACATTATTAGAGAAAATTGACAAAACAATAACTATCATGACACACTGATTGTAGCTTGACATGTGTACTATATATTAATATTAGATATATTTGTAAACTGCTGCCAGAGCTAAATATTTGATAAGAGCCTTTGTTATTTTAAAATTAATTTTATTGTTACATTTTAGGTATACAATACAATGACATTCATCAATGGAAATTTGCATCTTTACATAATTTCTCTTGGCTCTTATATTTTCCCCATTCCCCTGCCCTTACTTCAACCCCTCCACCTCTCCCTATTTACAAAGAATTTGTTTCCATTTTTTAATTTTCTCATATTAATTCCATTCCCTTCTTTCCTGTCCCCTACACCTCCCACTTCCCTTTCCCCTTACCTTCCTATTTACATTATCTATTGTACCTTTTAGTCCTTATCTACACTTTCAGTTTCTCATACTAGGGAAACTATTTGGTATTTACACATGTGTGTCCTATTTATTTCACTTAAGAGGATGGCCTCAATGTCCATCCATTTAGCTATAAATATCTCTAATTTCTCATTTTTTATGGCTGAATAGTACTCCATTAAAAATAAAACAATTTCTTTATACAATCTCCAGTTGATGGGTAATTGGGCTGCTTCCAAGTTTTAGCTATTACGAATTGTGCTGGGTGTGCATATACCATTGTGGTATGATTCTTTTAATTCTTTGGGAAAGATACCCAGCAGTGGAATAGCTGGATCAAATGGACTTCCAGTCCTAGTTCTTTGAGAAACCTCCATACTGATTTCCACAGTGGTTGCACCAGTCTACACTCCCACCAGCAGTGGAGCAGGGTTCCTCTTTCCCCACAGCTCCACCAGCATTGTTATAGGTTGATTTCATGATAGCAGCCATTCTCTCTGGGGTGAGTCGGAATCTCAGCATTGTTTTCATTTGGGTCTCTCGAAGGACCAGTGGTGTTGAACATTTTTTCATATGTTTATTGGCTATTTCTACTTCTTTGTCTGAGAAATGTCTGTTCATTTCAGATGCCTATTTTTGGATTGGGTCTTT